GGGCGGGGCGTGGCGGGAGATGAGACGAGATGGAACTGGGGTTCCGGGTCACGACGGCGACGGTGGCGCAGCGGGGGCACGGGTGTAAATAAGGACCTCTGCTCTTCGCCGACGCGCCGCCGCCGTCGGGGAAGCGGGGGTGTGCCAACTCGGGCCGCAGGGGGGGCCAATCCATGTCAAAACTCCTTTTCATTTCTATTCTCGCCCCCCACCTCCCCCCCTGCTCCCATACGTCCCACACACATACCACATATACCACACCGCCCGCTCTCTCTCACCCTCTTGTTTTCGTCCTCCTCCCCTTCCCCCGATATATCTACGAGAAAAATAAATCGGACCGCATATCGGGGGAGTCGACAAATTCCATATACGAGCGGCGACAGCTGCTGTGTCATTCCGGCTCCATAACTCCCTCTCTCTCACCCCCCTCTCCTCATCCCTCCCTCCCCTTTGCGCTTCTTAGCCGCATGCAGCGGGGGAGGCGACCCGCTGCATATTGGCTAGAGGCTATGGGACATCCCGAGCCCTGCTATCCATTTTCTGCCACCATATAGTTTTCCACTCAACTTCTTGCCCTCCTATGGCAAGCTCCAAACACTACAGAACCGCCGACCAATTCCCCCATGTTGCACATGGTCCATTCTGAAACTACGTCCGTCATCAGCCCGTGCGAGCTCTCTTAGCGCCCGCTAGGTAGGCAATGCCTCGCCTGCAGTGCATGCGTGTGTTGCGGGGTGGCCTACCCCGAGTCTCGCAGGCGCCGACCTCCCGTCATTTTACCGAATGAGCAATAAGCAAATACTGTAAGGCCTACGGGCAACAGCATACCTATGTAAAACCCAAATGTAACTTAACTAGACTTCAATAAAACCATTTTAAAAACTGAAAAAAAAACTTACCGAATGAAGCCGAGAGAAAAAATAAAGAACGGACGGACGGACGTACTTTCTAGGGACGATCCCATTCAACCGCGGGCTCTGAATACTCGTTAATGGCGCCATCGGCGACACGCAGGGTGTGCGGGAGGGCATGTTTTATACTGGGGGAATAACGACACACGCTACGCTCCGCCACGCCCGCCCCCTGTCATAACCGTGCATGGACCACCACGTGGACGACGACGACGTGAGAGGCGAGCGCCACCAGCACCACGGCCCTCAACCCACGAGGCCGCAGCCAGCTACTAGACCAATGTTATCATAATGAAGCAGGCAATAAAATCGAAATTAGTTAAGATAGAAAAAAAGGGGTGTTGGGAGGGGGAA